TGCAATTATACTGCATTATTCCCATGAATAAATGTTTTCCCATTTCTATTAATGAACATGAATATTCCTATGAAAGACATGAAATCAAGCACTGGATCATAATATATTAATTTTTTCGTTACAAGTAACGAAAGATAAAATGGTAACAAAATGTCGCCGTAACAAAAAGTCAATGTAGCCAAATGTCCCTGTAACGAAATGTCTTGTAACGAATTGTCCTGTAACAAAAAGTCGCTGTTACGAAACGTCGCTGTAACGAAATGTCGCAGTAACGAACTGTCCGTAACGAACTGTCGGTAAACCTGTACAGAGGTATCAGTATTCATTTCCCCGAATGTCCATATTGCATTGAAATATATTTATAGAATCAGTTTAAATTGGGTGACAATTTTTATTTTTATGGAATTATGGTGATTCTTTTGGTTCATGAAACACCAATTAAAATTATATAATGAACATATAAGGGAAAATGAGTCTCAACTTAGGAACATTTTGACTTAAGGACACTCTTGATGCCCCAATTACATCCACATTTTGAGGTGACACTGTATTTGGAATACATTCTCACGTTTTTCAATAAAAATAGACACCGTTTTGTCTGCGGGCTCCAAAAACGTCTCGGATCTCCACCGGAAGCACAGGAAAGAAATGTATTTCTGGCACACTTTTCAAAAGAGAGAATTTCCCAGTGGTTGAGAGTCAATTCAGGCGTCAGTCACCCGGCAAAGCGGGTGACGTCTCTTATTCCCCTTGTCCACGTCTCTCGTTACTCCCCAGTGGATTTTCAGAAGCACATCTGTAAAATGTTTTGCCAAGCTCTGCTTAACGTAAAAGCCTCCCTATTGTCACTCCCAATCTTCAACTGTCGGTCTTCATATCCGTCTTTTTTTTTATTGCGAAATAAATATCTGTAGTTCATTCATGATGCCCTCCATTTCATTTCTTTATTGCTATACGCACAATAATCCAACCTTATTCTTGCTATCGGTAGAAAAAATGCAACGCGTCATCAATTAAAAAAGAAATCCGGAGTCCTTGCCGAAGAATGGCATGCGAAAATAAAGAAGTAATGGAATGATTGTCAATGATTATGCATTAACTGAGTGTTTCCAACCTTTTTCAGCCTACTGACCAGCAAACTAAAAAAATTTGTGGACCAGCAACTTCCCAAAAAAGTTCCTGTGCACTGGCAAAGTTTGGCAGACTTGCAAAAGTTTTGCTTGGATGTTATTAGGCAGGTACTTACAAGAAAAAATTCAGCTAAGAATGTCATCATACAAATAGAAAAGTGGACTTGGAGAAAGGTTCCTCAAAATATAAAAAATTAAAATAATTTATTTCAGCAGCGGTGAAAATTTGTCAGAAGTGTTATTAGGAGAAAAGCTAACTGTTGTTTTCATCAGATAAATAAACTGCCATTGTCCTTCCAAAATTTTAGGTAAAAAGAACAGACTTTATCCCAATTTTTGATAAATTTATTATGCTGAAAATGTCCTGCGGACTGGCTAAAAGCCTCTGCAGACCAGCGCTGGTCCACAGATCACAGGTTGGGAACAGTGCATCAGCTGATAAAATATTCATTAGTTAAATTATCTGACCGTTTTCCATTTTCCAAGGAAAAAATCCATACATCTTCGTTTTGAATTTTCTTGAGAAAAATGGCATTTTCTCAGGTTCCAAAACAATGTGCATGATTGTATAGTGTTTTTGATTTTTGTTGTTGAAATTTGAGTGATCATGGGCTTTGAATATTATGCGCACATAACATCATTTAAAGACATATTCCCCATATTTTGAAATAATTCTTGGAGAAAATTGTGAGAGGTACTGTACTTGAGAATGTTTTTTACAATATACAGTATATTAAATTCAATTCATCAGGGAGCAGACTGATCACCTCCTGCTTTACTTTGGTTTCAGTAATTGACTTTTGCTGAAATTTTTATCACTGATATTTTCATTTTGTTATTGGGGAGGAGAAGAACGTGTGAATGTTCACATCAGTTGTGCGATTGTACATGTTGGGATTTACAGTATTTTCTTTTGATATCCATATGCAATTTATTTCTCCATTTTCCATTCTACTGTGATGGAGTGTGTTTGGATGAATGCGGATGGGGTAGCCAGGTGATTTGGATGTGGGTACATAGCTTGAACTGTGTGAACGCTGAACAGTGGAGAATAAAGCTTGCTCATCAATCTGTCAATTAAATATTCAAAGACAATTGGCAAAGTCAATTTAATTGTGCTGTATCTGCCTTTGTTTTGGTACCGGGTCAGCCACCAGCCATTCAATTCACAGTTGCGCAACCGCCAGCCGTCAAACGCCGGTCCCTCCAATTGCCAGGCAGGGCAGTGCTTGGTCTCTCCAATCCCCAGCCCAACAAACTGTGTTCCGGTCACCCAATTGTCAAGGAACCCCAACAATTGGGTGACTAGGATCCCATTGATTCTAAAATCCTGGTTGCAGTGTCTCTCCAGTCTTTGGGGAGCAGAATGGTTTCCTGCAACAGATAATTTTTTTGCACAAAATTACATCTTGTAAAAATTTTTGGAAAAAGAAAAAA